TGAAAGCTGCCCCTACAGCTGTTTCAATTATTGCCAAATACTCATCATCTTTGGTATTTTTTGGGTAACAATCGTTGTATAAGCCCACGTATAATTGTTGGTCTTCAAGGGCAAAGGTTAGAACTTGGAACATTATCTTTTAAATCTTAAAAAAAAAATAACGAAAAAAATATTTTTTAACAGAGAAAATTTCGTGCAGCTTTGACTTGTTCGTGTAATAGACACATTATTCATTTGCTTCAAATTTAACAGGGTCAAACTTTGAAGTCTAGCACTTGTAGTCCAATAATTAATTAGAGTATACTAATTATTATTTGGCATTATTTGAACCAGCTATATGGTCAGCAAAGAGGTTTGTTACCGCAGTCCAAAGTTATTTACTTAATTGTCGATAAGTAGGCATAGACGTCTAATGTTGAACTAAGATTGTATACCTATTTAACATATAAATGCTAATTTATTACATTATTAGTATAAATAAACATAACATCAATCTAAACTATCCTTGCAATAAATTGACCGGATTATCAAGAGAGAGAAAGAGAGAGAGCACACTGTAGTATATATTTATTCTTATTGTTTATTTTTTACTACAGGCATTAAAAGTTTTCGTTTGCACGCGTGTCGTGAGGACGGTTCCTTGGAGGCCCAAATGGTAGAGTTAACATGGGATACAATCACTCGCTGGGAGAGTGATGAAGAATCAATGTCATTTTGTTTTCAATATAATCGTTCAGATAAACCGGCTCGTTGGGTGAAAGTCTACACACCATTCGTATGTATACAATTTTTTTTTTTTGTTTTATACAATTTCAAATAATTATTTTGAAATATTTTTTAGCATGCTTATCTCGCTGATTGTTTCGATCGAATAATGGAAGAGCGTAAGTGGGAGGATAGCGGTGACTAACGACTAAACTTACATTAGCCATAATTCGAATTTAAATTGTATATTTTAAAAATAATTTTTTTTCTATATTTGCTGATATTTATTTGCATAAGTTGCATAAGTAATAGAACACACGCCTCTTTACTCTCAAATGCTCTCAAATCCACACAACAGCTTAGATTTATAAGTATAAGAAACTATGCGATCAACAACATTTTTAATTTGTATTCAATTTGTTATACACACATCAAAAGCTGAGATATAGAACAAGCGATGTCAAAATTATAGACAGTTAATTATTATTAACATACATTTAATAATAGTAAATTACTAATATGTAATTTTTCATTATTTCATTATAATATATTTTCATGCACATTTATTTTATAAGTATATAATGTATTTGTACTTAGGTTCAATATTCCATTGTAAAAATTTGTTATGTCTAAATTATTTAGTAGTTGCTTTTATCGAATGTATCGAATGTATTATTGTATATTTTTTATGTAAATGTATGCATTTTTGTAGGTTTTTATATTATATTATTTAATATATTTGTTATTTTACATTTATTTGTATAGTACTTTGGGAATATCTGCACCTTTTGTGATTATTGTTAAAACAACAAAATGTATATTTTTTTTATAGTTTCTTTTGAATACTATATTTTTAAAATAATAAAATTACAAACCCTTAAGTCAGTAACAATGACATTTATTGATACTGTTTAATAAACTGAAAAGCCTATAAGTTTCAATTGCTTTAAAGCCAGACAGAATATTATTTATTTCACTTTAGAATATAAATAAACATAAACCATTTCCCTATAAACTATTAAAATTATGCTATTAACTCCTGATATTCAATTTAATGCAATCAGTTTTAAATTATCAGATGATAAAATTTGTTTATACCATAATTTTCAATTTAAATTTCTGCTAAACTACAGCAAAAATATCTGCCGTTGTAGAAAAATATGCAAATTTGCGTGCCGAAAAGCAATATAAGATTAGCTACAGAAATATGGAACACTAAACTGCAATATTTGAATTTTACTAACTACAAAAGATTAAATTATCGTTTTATCGTTGTTAGTTGGTTGTTGTCAGAACCGTTCCAAGAGCTCTATTTAGCTTTTAGAGCTAAATTGAAATTGAGCTAAAATTTAGTATTAAGTTTCAAACACTTTAAATTCGCTTTGTCTAAAATATATGTTGTCAATTTGCCGAAATTTTAAGAAATTATATTTCATAATTGTTGTTGTTTAAATTTAAGATATCAAAACATAAAAAATTGTAAATTTTAAATTATTCTAATAGAAAGCTTAAATAAGAATTGTAACAAATCTTTATGAGTCATGTTAAAAACTGAAACATTATATTTAATTTATTAACACAAATATATGTGTAAATGTACATATATTAACAATATTTAAAAATTATATACAAAAACTATTCGTTTAGAAATTGAACTATTTCAATTGAAATTAAGAAGGAGGAGCTATTTCGAAAGTTGATACAAGTTTAACATAACTGTTGCAATTAAATATTCTATACACGTTAAGAAAAAGCTTTAAAATGAGACATTGTAGACATTTCCAAGAGATCACACTTATATGTATTTATTGTGTATATTTATTTACTTTCTAGTGATATATTGTATGTGTAATTTTTTTTATAATTTATGCTTAAAACCCTTTATTTACTATTTTATTTTAAATAAAAGTATAAATGAAATAAAAACTATCTTAATATTGTGGCCATTAAAAAAACTGACTTATACTTTAAAGATAATTATATAAATATTTAACAAAAAAAACAAAATAAATAAATAAAATATATTTAATCATTCCTCAGAAAATTATTTAATAATTTTTATTTTCAAAATTAATAAATAACACACATTATTTAAATAAAAGTAGTAATGCACCAAAAAATAATGTGAAAAAAAATCAAAAAACATTAAATAAAAACTTAAAAAAGTGAACAATTTCAATTTGAATATTAAATAAAATGTATACTTTATTTTGAACGTATTTTCTGTTTGAGGTATTATATTGTAAAAAATGTCACAAGTTACAGAATAAATCGGCTCAAAAACAAACAGTAAATTTTGAAGTTTTTGTAAATAATTATCTTGAGTTTAGTAAACATAGGCTAGAGCTATTCGAACACCTGCCTAAACAGATAACAGAAAGAAGCGCGTGGGAGCGATTTATAAAAATAAAATTTCATTGGGATTAAGAAAATAAAACTACATATCAAAATTAAAATATGATTTAAGAGCACAAAAAATTTGAGTTTACCTGCCACATTTAGCTTCCAACATTATAATGACCCAAAACATACGGCTATTGATGTGCGTATGTGGCTCGCTCATTATGTAAAACACACATTGCCGCATCCACCTCAATCTCCAGATCTCAACCCCATTGAACATTTGTACGAAGAATTGCATAGACGTCCAAAGAAGCCCATTATAACAACAAAGACAGAACTGAAGGTGGCAATGCTGAAGAGGGGCAAGATGTTGGTCCAAAAATCACACAAAAATTAATTTCTTCGATTCCTAAGGAAATAGTAGCTGTTACTAAATAGAAGAGCTTAGTCACTAATTATTTATTGTTATTGAAAATAATTTTTTTTAATTTGTTTTTTAATTTTTGCGTTAGCTGTGCGAATTATTTTGTTCAGCCAGATTTAATTTTTTTTTGGTTTTTTAATTTTAAAAAATTAAATATAAGAGAAAATAAAATGAATTTAAAAGCAAATTAAGCATTTTGTCAAAATAAAATTTTTTGTTTATTAAAAATCGCATCATTAACAGCATAAAAATAGTGCTAAAGTTCAATTTGCTTGCTGTGCGAATAATTTCGTTCGTCACTGTATGTTATAATAATTATATTGAACTTAAAGTATTAGTATAATATGTTTAATTTAGAGTTCATAAGCATATCCAACACCTAAATTAGTTTCTTTAAAATTTTTTCCAAATCGTTATATAATGAAACTTGGTTTAACCAATTTTAAATATATGCATTTATTTTTTTATATAAAAAAGTTCAGAAAATAATGAAGCGGTTCTAATTTCATTATGAACCTTCTTTTACAAGAAGGTTAACGAAAGTGGTAACGAAAAATAAATAAACCAAAAATTTTGCATTGTTTAGACCTTGCTACTAGGTGTGAAACTTAACATCATTAGCTGTCTTCCACTGCACATATCACAGTACTTTTGAAGTAGTTTTCGAAGACTTTGCGCTACATAGCTGGAAATATCTCGATCGTAATTTAACAGATATTTGTTTCCGTCCAAAGTTTAGGAATTGTCTGCATAATCACTATACTTTACGTAATCCTACAAAAGGGATTCAATCAAGAATTTTGTTATTTGTAACATAACAACAACAGGACGTGTTTTGTTGCTTGTGGCTCCATCTTGTTTAAACCACATATATTCCATATCCATATTCTTCCATTTCAATTGATTATCATGTGACTATACAGTAATTTTTTATTGACACGGTGAATGTTATTTGTTGACAGATCCACCAAACAAAAACAAGAGCTGAAGAAAATTGTTAGGAGATCTATATTAATTGCATCTAAATTGGCAAACTTTAAACTTAACTTATGGTGCCTTGGATGACAATTCAATTTGACATGTCACTAAAGCCATACTGCTAAATTAAGATTAATAAATGGGTAACCCGTTATTATTATATTATATAAATTATTTATTCGTTCAACATATATATATATATATAACCATTTTTTATAATATTTTTTTCTCAAATGATTATTTTTACTATTCTTATTTCAGATATGTAGTGGGCACTATTAATTTAGTATTTAACTATTAAAGTATGTTTCATCATGTATTTTAAATTATATCATTACCTTAACTACATTACTACTACTCGTTATTACGGAAGAATATTATGTTTTTTTATTTTTAATTAAATACAAGCGATTTTTTTATGGTATAAAAATGTACTTCTACACATGTTTTATTTAAATTTTGTTTAATTATATTAATAATTATAAATGTGTTAGAAATATTATTATGAATAATAATAATGTCATATATATACCATCATATAAAAGTTATCAAGTGAAAAAATTCTCGCACAATTAAACCAAAAATAAAAATCTCTGATGATGGATATAAGTTAGAATATGAAAAAGACCAAAGTTATTTTCTAATTAAATAAATTTTTTCAATTTTATCATGTATTATATTCTAAATACATTTTTCTGATTTACATTTGATTTTAATGCATTATTAACCAAAAAAAATTTAATATATTTTAAAATTCGAACAACACGAAATATTAGTTAAATCTTAAATTGTTTTTCTTGTATTATTTATGTTTTAAAAGTACATATATAAAAATAATTTATAAATGATATAAGATGCTTACTAATCAAATATAAAAAATAATCAATACTTAAAAATACTGTCGATGTATCATACATATGTAATCTTTGACACAATTATTAACGCTATAAAACCCTCATGTTTGGAGGGCATTGTCTTTGTCACAAATTATAACGACATACAATTTCACTATATAATATCTTAAACGAAAATAACTTATATATTAGTTAAAATATGAAAAAACATATACTATTTTGCACCATATAATTTATTCCATTCGACAAAACTTGTTATATCTTCCTCGGTAACACTGGGTCGCACATGATCTAAGGCCGCTTTAAAATCATCAATATTAACGGGTCGAACCTTTTAATAAATTAATTTAAAAATTTATATGTTGATACAAATTTTGTTTGTTGTTCTTTACCATATCTTTTCCGACGGTAGCAAATTGATCAAATGGTATAGCTCGAATTGGACCCATTGCTGCCTCTTGACTTAAACTGTTTAAATCAGCTCCAGAATAACCTTCTGTTAATTTACCAATTTCCAGCAGGTCATTAGCGTTTAAATCGTTTTCAATGGGTTTGAACAAATTGGAAATAAGATTTATACGCCCTGCTAATTCTGGCAACGGTATGTAGAGACGCCGAACCAGGCGTCGACGCATAGCGTGATCTAAATCCTGTGGTCTATTTGTTGCGCCAATTACAAAAATACGATCATCTTCCTTTGTGCGCACACCATCGAATTGTATTAGAAATTCAGTCTAACGAAAAATATAAAAATATATAATTTTTATATAAAAAAAAAAATAAATA